TCAAAACAAAAGCAAAAGAAAATTTTCCATTGAAGATGCCTTTAACAAAAAGAAATTTAAAACTATTGAAAAGGGAAAAGGATTTTTTAATTATTATAAAATAAACTAAATAAAAAATAACCCGCTAGTAGGGAGTTCTTATATACAACATCCACAAACATTAGCACAAAAAATCATAAGGATCAAAAGTATTTCCAATAGGCAATTTTATCCGCGCTACATAATGAGGAGGTAGATCAAAATCATACTTATAGAGAGGGTCAATATCAAAAGTGGTCAGATGAATTCAATGTTGTCGACACTGAAATTTCAGTGTCACTCAGGAAGATTGATAAATTTGAAAGATTAGATATGATCTTAGTATAAAACGTTTTTTGTTACAAGGAGAAAGCATATCCCTTAAGAATATCGAAAAGTGAAGGATCAAACGAATACTAGTAGATCTTTTATTTGTAACCAATAATAATAGCCAACACTGCTGTTGGGTCAAGACCTTTGTCTCAAATTTAGGATCACATGTATCAACGCATGGATACAACACTTGTTGGTGTCGACACTGTGTAAGTCACTTTACCAAACAGGAAATCTTGAAAAAAACACAGCAAGTACTGCAGTCAGCATGAGTCTGTAAAACAGAATTACCAGAGGAAGGTACATATATCAAATGTGTAAATAACAAACGCACGTTGAGAGTTCCATTGCAACCAAATCCATCAGGGCCTAATACAAATGCTTGAGAATGAAGAATGAAGACTATGTATCTTTCGATGATTCAAGTGTAACATTGTAATATTGTAGAATTTTAAAAAATGATAAAGTTCACGACCATGACCATTTAACATGATAAATATCGCGATGCAGCTCACAGGAAATGCAATGAGGAATATCAACTTTCAAAAGTCATTCAATTCAATTTCACAGTTTGAGCGACATATTTGCAACAATAGATTGGAAGAAACACAACTACCAGCAAAAGAAGATACCTCCCCCCTTCCCCCTTATGCTGACAAACTCGTACGGTTCTAGGGCATAAGTGCTATTTTAGAGGCCATGCCTATCTCTGATTGGCCATGGCCTGGTAATATTGAATTTAAAAACTCTGATTGATCTCCGTAGTTTTGAAAAATGATATGTCATGGAAATAGTATCTGTAGTTTTTATTTTTCCTTTTTTTTTCATTAACTGTAAATCTTCTTGTTTGTCTAGCTGATCCGTTTAAAATGTAAGATATACGATCGTATTTACGGCATGTAGTACTTTTGTGATGGGAATATACTTGTATAGACGAACAGATTATGGAATGCCTATATGACAATTAATTATTTTCAATGTACGTGTAACGTATATTTGTTATATCATTAATGAAAAATATTTAAACACTTTGAGAAGTCAAACATAATTATATATAAGAACCGTATCTATATGGATTGTTTGAGTGAATGTCCCATTTTCAAGAAGCATATGCATATTTCACCGCTTTTGTTCAATTTCTTTATTTCCAGTAATCGCTAAAATCTATTGTTAATCGTTCTTTTATTTATTGGTTTTTTTTTTCAGTTTACATTATTTCCCTAATCACATAATTTTAATGAATCGTTTCTTGGTTCTATGTGTATGGAGCGTTAACCTTTTTATTTAATTTCATTCTTAATGCGGACCTTGCAGAAGACACCTATGGATTTAAGATTTTATATTGCTATAAATTCATCTTGGATATTTACGGCAAAAAGTTATGTTATTGTCATAATCTATTGATTACCAACACCATTTCATCGAACGCGGTATCATCTCATGGATATTATTGAAGGCAAGCCCAATGAATATTAACGCCGGCTAACTTCACACTAGTGGAATGAGAAGCACGGCAAAGTGTATACAAAGTTGTTAATTGATCAACTACGCCGTAGTGGTGTATTCAAGGGGAAAGGGGGAGGGGGCGAAGATGTACGCCCTCTTTGATTGGAAAAATATATTATGTTTAGTCTTAAAATCGTAAAACTTTTTTAATGGAATTACGCCCCTTCATCATTTATTATTTGACTATGAAACTATCCCTGATTTCTGAATTTGCCATTTTTCATTTCAATTTACATATATTCAAATTGTTATAAGAAAACAATTCCGTTAAGAATAGTCGGGGAAACCCACTAGTTTAACCTCCGAAACTAAATAAATAAATTAAAGATAAAATAATCAAAGATTGTATTGAATTTTGTTTTCTTATATCAATTTGAAAATATGTAAATTGAAATAAAAATGCCAAATTCAGAAATCAGGGATAGTTTCATAGTCAAATAATAAATGATCTAATTCATTATTCACTTTTTAACTTGAATAATGAAACATAAACTATATCATTATTCATTACTAAACGTTGAAACTATTTCATTATTCATTATTGAATTTTGAATAATGAAAATTGAATAATGGACGTACTTCAGCGCATATGAGAACAAAATGCAACTTCGAGACTCGACTGTTCCTTAATTTGAGTGAATGTTTAATACTTAGGAATATCCGTAACTTGTGTATTTAAAAATATCTGCAGTTTTACTGGTGTATTTTAAATACATTAAGTTAAAATGTGGATAACAAGGTCAGATATCATTTCGCTTCAAATTCCAAAATTTTTATATTTTAAAGCTCAATGTTTATTTATCAAAATAAAAACTAGAAAACAAAATATATAGGTAAAGTTAAATATCTTTGATTTGTAATGCGTCAACATACATGTAACATGTAGGCATGTTTGGTTAGTCTTCAAATTCTTAAAATATCTTGCCTGCCCTTTCACGTAATTTTTTCATAGAATTTTTAAGTGGTTCACTGAACTTTCCAAAATTCGCCCCGACAACCAATCAGAAAATGATTTCAAGTATTATAAAGACTTAAACATATACTAAATGAAGTTAATTAGTAAAACAATTTTCTTTCCGAATACAACTTTCACGTAAGGATCGTAATGATGCAATGTGAATAAAACTATTTAAAGCTCTTCAAAACCATTTCATCAACATTCCAGCAGCGCCTGCAAATGGAGTATTAATAATGTCTCCCAGTTGATACGATATTCCAGAGCCTGTATTTCCTATCATGATTTTAGAGGGTAGCTGCTTATAAGGATGCTATTGAACCAACAGTTCCAAGTGGTGAAGTTGAAATCATCCCTTAGAATATTTTACGGACGCCATCACGAGTTGGTTGACTATTACGGAATATCTGTTTCACAGATGACGACGGATATGTTCCATTGTGGCAACCACAATCCCGTCCTCTTTTCCTAGAATGTGACCTACCGAATAAGACTTTTCATCGGGTTTGTACTTACATGAGCAACACGACGGGTGCAACATGTGGTGCAGGATTTGCTTTTCCTTCCGGGGCACCTGAGATCACTCCCGGTTGTTGGTGGAGTTCGTGTTGCTCATTCTGTAGTTTTCTTAGTTCTATAACATAAGCCTTCGTAGGTTCATATCGTTTGCCTTCGACGTTTTTTATCGGATATTTTTTTTTACTATCAATGCCGAACCACGATTTTTTCATCATCATAATCAAATATATAAATGTAGATACTAATTATATATTCAAAAGGTGTTACATTTTGAAAACAAGAAAAAAATTCATTCGAAGCTTACAAACAAGGATAAATGGCTCAGCCAATGTGGTTCACATTATTTTCACGTAAATTGCAAGCTGTTTTCGTTAGTTTTTTTACATTAAAAGTGTTATATAAATTTCAAATCAATAAACTGTAAATTGGTTTAATAGTAAGTTAGTTACCTATGATTTTATTCTATAATATAAATACAACTAAACCATAAGAATGTTTTTTTATGGCCCCGCCATTTTTGTGGTCGTGACCATATAGGTTTACCCTTATCCGTCATTCCGTCAATCCGTCATTCTGTCATTCCGTCATTCCGCAATGAACAGTTTTACGGACTTGTTTTCTAAACGCCTTCACACATTGAGCTGATTTGTAGTATGTGAGTTTACCATGATGAGTTACAGATCGAGTTAACGTATGGTTCCGCTCCGCTGATTTTTGCAAAAATTACGAGCTTTTGACTTTGAACATTTCATGAAAATAACAGTTAGACGGACTTTCACTCTCTAATTTCCATTCCTAAAAATGGCTTCAAGCTTACAACAGGGGCCATTCGTGTCGTTCCAACACATCTAGTTGCATTTAAGGGATTGGATTACATTTTTTAACTCTATGTTTTCTATCTTTTTGCAATATTTCGCCTTATGCAATGAAACTATATGGATATACGGGCGTATAATTGCATTTCCGCATATTTTGGAAACTAACAGTTTTACTTTACCGCAAAAAGTTTATTACGTATCCGCAAAAAAAATTATATTTATTTTTTCCGCAATTCATTCGCTCAGTTTACTATCACTTTTGTTAAGGAAAGATATACATTATTATACATTTATACCTGTGTATACTGGTTATATGATCCTTCGACAAATTTAGACAACATAAAAATAAGGAAGTGTGTGATGATTGCCAATGAGACAACTATCCACCTAAGACCAAGGGGCAAGGTTGAAAAATAACTACAGGTGATTATTACATGTGTATTTTATCTAAATTCATGTTATTATATTCTAAGGATGTGCGAATGACAAAGTCGACAGAAATGTGTTGAAAATGAAATGGTGTTGTCGATAGAATGGTTCCTAAGGCCATATAATTGAGGAAACTTAATAAAAATTAGCAGAAAAGTAATGCTGATTTGAGGAAACGTGAAACGTCCAGATTCATTTACATTTTATGACTACATAGGGAGTTGTTGAAACTAACACAAACTGAATTTCTTTGTCGTATTCAAGTTCATTATGGTAAATAGTCTTTATTTTTATGCTGGTAAACTACATTGCTGGTGGATATACTATATGACGAAAGTTACAAATACGTCTCTCGTAGATGTTTTGGGATGGAAATATAAAATAATTGTGGTTTACAAACTTTTTTTTATCCTTTTAGGTGATATACGGACTGTTTCCCAAAGACTTGAGTTTTTTTACGACGGCAAATGGGGGACTGTCTGTGATAATGGCTTTGATGATGTCGACGCTTTAGTGGCTTGTAGACAATTGGGATACAGGTATGGAAATGATTTAACAGATTGGATGTTTTAATGAAATAATGATTAACGGTTTATTGCTATACTATCTTTAATTATCGTATTGATTGTAGGAAAATGTATTGGTTGTAGAAAAATGTATTGATTTTAGGAAACTGTATTGATTGTAGGAAAATTTATTGATTGTAGGAAAATGTACTGATTGTAGGAAACTGTATTGATTGTAGGAAAATGTATTGATTGAAGGAAAATGTATTGATTGTAGGAAACCGCATTGATTGTAGGAAAATGTATTGATTGAAGGAAAAAGTATTGATTGTAGGAAATTGTATTGATTGTAGGAAACCGTACTGACTGTAGGAAAATGTATTGATTGTGGGAAAATGTAAAATACGTCGATCAAAACAATGAACACGCTTAAATCAAGGTACTGACGTGCTGTTTACTCGGATGAACTCAAGATCTGATGGCTGGCGAATAAATCAAAAAATTTCCTATCTCCATGTAGACTACTACATGTACTAGCAGTTGCTTTTTCAATCAAATATCAAACATTTCAGCCATATTTAAGACATTAATATACTAGATAAGTATTTAACATGCTATCAATTGTCTAGGTTCTGTGGGCATAGAGGATCGAAAGGGATAACAAAATTAGTTAAATGTGTTTTGCACTGTCTGAAGACTGGATAATACATAGTGCCTATAATTCTCTACTCATGTGACTTTTGCTTGTGTAAACAGTATGCGTTGGTTGCCCTTTTTCTTAAAACTTCCCAGCGTAGACCTTTTTGTTCTTTGATTAGTTTTGAATATTTCGAATTAGCTCACTTTTTCTTAATTATGCCATGCATTAAAGCAAAACATATTAAGTTCATGTAATTTCTACCATGTTTATAATAGCAATTGTTTTATTTGTCTTGATGAATTGTTCAAGCAAAAGAGGTAAATCACAGTATTTTGGTTCGGTTAGCCTTAGTCAGTAGTGGATCAAGGAACTCTTAAAAAAGGGGAGTGGTTACATGTTAATAGGGGGAGGAGGAATGACTAAATCTTCTATTATACTAAATACTATTATTTAAGATATGAATAAGGAGATAATTAGTTAAAAGTCAGCTGGTCAGCAACCTTACATAAAAGATTAACATGCATAGACATCTATTGACTATTTGCGATATAGAAAATTCAAAGCCTATCGGAAATATCGTTTGGTTTGCTTGAATTCAGAAATTGGAATTAAGTGCCTGCTTAACCTCAGAGGCGTTGAATCAAGGGGCAACACTGACTTACTTCTAGACTATATTTACCTGTGTATATTATTTTATTGGGCGGCATTTGTCCAAGGTTATGGTTGGCTTTCTGATATCGTTTAACATCTCACCCCTTATTTTATTGATTTTGTATTTACATTGTGTCATAGATCAAATTTATTCGTTCAGTGTATGTTCACTTGTTTGTGTTAATATGTCTTTTGATTGAGTTAAGCCATTTCAATTGATATTTTATAGTGTGTCTTTCTATGTTGTGATGATACACTATTGTTTCAGGTAAGGGTGAAGATTGGTACCTATTAAAACGTTTAAACCCGCTGCATTTGTTTGCACCTGTCCTAAGTCAGGAACCTGATGTTCAGTGGTTGTCGTTTGATGATGTGGTTCATAAGTGTTTCTCGTTTTTTTATATAGATTAGACCGTTGGTTCTCCTGTTTGAATGGTTTTACACTAGTCATTTTTGGGGCCCTTTATAGCTTGCTGTTCGGTGTGAGCCAAGGCTCCGTGTTGAAGAGCGTACTTTGACCTATAATGGTTTACTTTTACAAATTGTGACTTGGATGGAGAGTTGTCTCATTGACACTCATACCACATCTTCTTATATCTATATATGACTATACAAAAGTTTTTTTTGTTTGCTTTCCACCTTTACAATCCCCCCCCCCCCCCCCCCCCCCCCTCAGTTTTTAATTGACGATAGTAAATTGATAAGGTCATAGTTATTAAATAATTCTAGGTTAATTATTTGATGAATTGTAGCACAGTCTGAATGACCGTTACATTTAATGTGTGATGCAGCTGTGTTTTACTTTAATCACTTTTCATTACAAGTCGTATATTTCATTACTTTGTTTGTTTAAATTCCATCCCTATAGTTGTGTGGTCAAGATGCCAATGATACTTTGAGGTGTGCGAAAAAGTGTGAAGGCGGCCGTCGAATGATGATAAAAAGTTTGAGAATGTTAAAATGCAAGAGAGAGTAGAGAATGAATAGTGTTCTATTATAAATGATGGTCCCATGTCCCTATAGAGAATAGATATGGGGTAGGAGAAATATCTCCTTAGAAGACTATAGAGACATGAGAACTAAACAGTCGGGGAAACTGGTAAAGTAATAGGTTATCTGTATCTAAAGTGTGCAGACACTCACTCAGCGATCATATCATCATTCAACAAATAAAATGAACATTACCATAAGTTCATACAAGGAATAAACTTCTGACATTACATGTATATATATACACATTTTGTACCAATAACTTTAAAAGAGTAACATAAAGGTTTTCCGTTTTGAAAACAAAAAATTAAACCATCTCCATATGGATTGACAACACCAGAGACCTCTCCATAAGGATTTTCTCCAACATGACGAAACATCAAAATATCCATCATGAATCACCAACCGTACGAAATTGACTGAATAAGTACAAAATAGATTTTAAATTGCATTTTTCCTCTTTATTTTATTTATTTAATTATTTTTTGGTGCAAGCAGTTCCGTTTTCGAGCAAGGAAATGAGATGCACCTGGGATACATTTGTCATCAGGAGACATAGAATTAAATTAGTTACAGTCGTTGGAAGGTCATTTGAAGATTGTGAAAACAAACTGATCTGCAGTTTATGACACCCTAATGCTATAGCAGGAACCAAAATAAACTAATGTGTCCAACTAAAACATTTATTACTTTATCCAAGACTACTTATCTCATAATTATTCCTATGTCTAAAGTTTACAATATTTACAATATTTTTATTTTTCCAAATTAAAGGGCCCATTAAGAGCATAACATTAATAACAACATGACATAAACATTACAGAGTGATTAAAGAAACATAAAATAATAGTTCAAATGCATGAGGAAAGGGTCAGTGGTCAAGGGGAGATAATTTTGCTATCTATTTAACTAATTTTCTGGTTTTCTAAGTTGCAGGCCTTTATCAAGGTATGCACATAAAATAGATAAAAAACTGCTATCTTCATTACTCATGATCCATGTAAAAAGATCATTTCTGTTTAAATTAACTAAACTGGGGTATTTTTTGATATAATCAGTCATATCTCTTCTGAGGTTATTGTAAAGAGGGCATTCCAGAAGAAAGTGCATTTCATTTTCAATAGAATTTGAATTACAATATAAACATATCCTCTCATGTCGAGGTAATATTTCATATTTACCACATACATTGATAAAACGTTCATGTCTGCCAGTTTCTATTCTTAAACAGTGATTGCTGAGTCCGTATGTTGTTAACAAATGTTTTTGGGGTGCTTTAAATCTAAATAACTTTCATAGTCAAATGACCTCTTGAATGAAAAATAAGTGTCCATTTTGCCTTGATTTTGTAAATAAAAATCTCGCATTTTCTCCAATCATTTTGAAAATTTAATTTGAGCTGTTTTTTAGTAAATTTTTTAATTTATTTTTGCCTAAATGTTTACATATACATTTAGGTCAATACCCAATTTTTCGCTGTAGAAAATGATATTAGAGAGCCATGAATTATTGGAGATAGTTTGAGCTTTACTCTCAATCATTTTTAACTCAGCATAAGCACTTTTCAATAAATCAGATGGGGAATTCTCTAGTCTATGCCAATACATAAACATATGTGTTAGCAAATTTATATAAAGAGGATATCTACCCAGTTCAGACAGGACTGCTACGTTTGTGCACATCTTTGTTACACCAATAATATACTTGCAAAATTTTAAATTTAGCTTCTCAAACTCCCAATCTTTAAATATGTCATAAAGGGATAATTATTTCCTTTTAGGAGTAATGTTAATAACACCCCAATTTTCACAACCATACGTTACAATTGGCTGTATACAATAATCAAATAAATGCAAAAGAGTTTTAATAGGAGGATTTGATGATTTCAAATCTTGATACAGTTTAAAATTGGCCTTTTGACCTTTTTAGTACAATTGTTTCCTGGCTTCATTAAAGTTTCCAGTATTTTGGAAGACTATGCCAAGATATTTGTATTGTTTAACACATTGATAGAATTATTTCCTATCTTGAAATCTTCATTAAGGAGTCTACCACTCCTATTGAATATAATAATCTTTGTTTTCCATACACCAATCTTTGCAGAATGTGCACAAAGTATCAAGTCTCTTCTGAAGCCCTTCTTTTGAGTCAGATATTAATACAAGATCATCAGCGTATAGTAGACATGGTATCTTTTCATTTTCTAAATTGACATTATCATAATTGTTTGACAATATATCTGGTAAATCATTAATAAATAGTTTAAACAATGTGGGACTCAAGACGTCACCTTGTCGTACACCAACATTATATCTAAAAAAAAAATCAGTTATTTTGTCTTCTACTTTGACACACACTTTGTCATTACTATACATAGATTTCAATATGTTATAAAAAATACCATTATTTGTATGTTGTAATAATTTGTATAATATACCAATATGAATAACCTTATCAAAGGCCTTGCGAAAATCTACAAAGCATACATATAATTTACCTTTGCCTCTTTTAACATATTTTTCTATGAGACATTTTAGTACAAAAATGTGATCCGAAGTGCGAGCTTTCTTAGAAAAACCAATTTGAGTTTTATTTATGATATTATTATCAGATAGAAATTTATCAAGTCTGTTATACAGAATGGTATTGAAAAGTTTGCCAAGACTATTATTGATGGCAATACCTCTGTAATTTTCAGGGTTCTGTGGGTTATCAGATTTGAATATAGGAGTAATGTAACTCTCAGACCATT